AAATAGAGACTTGTTTCATTTCATTTGGACACATAAAAATCTTGCATTTTACTATATTTTTCATTTCATATTTATCACTTACAATTTTTATAAAAATAATATATAAAAAACGAAAAATAAAAATTATTTTATAAAATTATTTAGTTTTTAATTATTTAACTTAATTTCAAATGATAATTTTTATTTATAATATGTAATCACATAAGTATAAAATAAAAATATGAATAAAATTGGTGGATATGGTACGTGTTATAATTTTTTTAAAACAAAATCACTGAAAAAAATTAAAATTGAGTGGGTGTTGAATTGTGATGTGAAAAAAAAAATGTAAAACAAAGGATGATGAGAGGTGAAAATAAGGTGTTGTATACATACAACCGATGTAGATAATCTGGTGTGTCAGACACCTAAATGCACCCACCAAAAATTAAGAAAAACAAATAATCTGATAAAAATTTTATCTTCTAAGTCACATTTTATCTTTCAGTTTATACTTTGAGACATTTTTCCCATGTGACACACTTTATTTGGATACAATGTCACAAATATCTTTAGCTCTAATCTTACCACACTTTCCCTTATCTAACTATAGTTAACTCATCACATCAAGTGTCTTAGTGCTCAACAATTAAAAAAAGAAAAGAAAATATGTTCTCTCCCCAAGCTCACTTCCAAAAATAGATTTGCGTCTCTCAATTCACAAACCTTAACTTCTCTCCAATCTCAGCTCTTCTCCATTCCTTCCCTTGTTCAACAGTAGATTTGCCTCACTCAGCTTCGTTTGACTCATTTTCGTCACTGGTCTTTTCTCACACCCATTTTATTTAGATTTTCACACTCTCCGGATAGATTTTCCATCAAGCGTCTCAACATATACTCCGGAGTTTGAAACCATTCGCCAGTCATATTTCGGGAAGTTCTTCGACCTCTCTGCCCGCCAATGCCGTTTTAGAATCCAAGGGATGTGATTAGTTTAAAGTCTGTTTTTTTTTTGTAAAAAAGAAAAGAAAGATGTGTGTCCATATGAATTTGTGTCCATATTTGTTGCATCCACATATTCTGTATCCATGCTTCTTCAATCCACATATTCTATTTTAAAAAAAAAATTCACATAATTGGTCTAATTCTAGTCACCTACATTTTTGTATGATTGCGAACTTTGTTTATAAAACTTTTTCTGGTTCAGATCAGAAATAAGCAAGAAACTATTTTGCCAAAAAGTTGTAAAAACATTTCCTATTGTGTGTTCATTCTACTGAAACAAAACTTCAATATAAATTAACTTATTTTAACAATATATTATTTATTATAACTTTTCCATTAAAAAAACAAATTCAATGTCTGTATATTGTAATTTGTATATAAGAGTCTTTTAATTCTTTTGCCATCCATGTCTACATTTTCTCTATGTATCTATGTACGTATATTCTGTAAACACATTTTTCTATGAGTGAGTTACATTGTAGGACACTTTTTTCTTTTCTTTTTTGTCATAATAAAACACTTTGTGCGCGAAACACACTTTATCCTCTTCCATCCTATATGTTTTTACACCATTACCCCTCTCGTTTGGTTAAGAAAAAATAAAAGGTTGGTTAGATTTTATTATTGTAACGAGCTCAATGAATACAATTTATGCTTAAATTGTCTTTTGCTCAATTTTAGTTTATTTTAGTTTCTAATATTGTTCTTCCCCCTCAAGTTTTTGTTTACTTTTTTCAGTTTTGAGATATATTAAAAATTATTATAATAAATTATAACTTATTCTTATCTATATTTTAATTTCCATTTATATATATATATATATATATATATATATTTTGTATATTTCAAAAATTATATGTAAAATTTTGTGGATATAAAACTGTGGAGGAAAAAAATATGGACAATATAAAAATGTCTATAAAAATATGTAAACATAAAAATGTGGATATGTACAGATTTTACAATTCAATAGGATCTGGTGTTTTGATTTCAATCATCAACACATAACCTAACCACGCACCAGCTATCCACACATACCACCTATCCACGCACCACTCATCCACGCATTATCCATCCACATTTTTTTACAGATCTGAATTTTGAAATCAAATTTTTACAAATCTGGATTTTGAAATCCACAATAACACTAAGAAATCTACGAAACAAAAACCTACTAAACAATGGACAAATATGAAACAAAACACCAAATCTTATTATTTATGTACAGATCTTACAATTCAACAATAGAAAAATCTGAAACAATGGCAGAGAAACTACTAACGAGAGTTTTAGGTTTCATATCTCTCTCTCTTCCCTAAGCTGGTACAGCTTATGACGAATATGAAGGTCACCCACTATAAATCCATAACTCATCCACGATCGATCTCATTACAAGCTTTGGTCTCATCAACAAACCCATCTATCCTCTATTGATTTTTTGGAATTATGGGTATTATGTTTTGAGGGTTCATAAAGTGTGAATTGGGAAAGTAAGAGAGATAGAAGATAGTTGAGACAAAAAAAAAACATAGAGTTAGGAGATACATTAGTTACGAGAGAGAGAAAGAGAATATGGCTTTAACTGGTGACCAAAGGAATGTGTGGGAATAGTTAATTCCTCTTTATTCCTTAAATTTGACACCATTTATAAGGAATCATAATAGTTAATTCCTCTCAATTCCTTAAATTTGCACCATTTATAAGGAATAATTTTTCTTCAATATTCCTTCTCATTCCTTTTAATTTAAGGAATCAAAGAACAAAACTATTCCTTATCAAATCCGGGGAGGAACAATATGGAACAAATGTTCCTATTATTTTGTTCCACTTCATTCTTTTCCTCGTTGTTCCTATTATTCCTTTGGTGGTCACCAGTTAAAGCCTATATCTTTAGGAAAATTGTGTTAGAGGACATATTAGTCGAGGGTATAAAAGACAATAAACAGTTAAAAAGTGTCTGGCAAGCATGAAGTGTCTTATTATGTAATTGATAAGACAAAATGTGTCTTAGAAGGTAAAAAAATCTTTTTCTATCTATATTTTTAGGTCTATAGCATTATATATATATGAAAGTGGATCTTAAAATATAGAGAATCAAATTTACAATCTATTGTAACAATTATATTTATTTATATTTTTTAAATTTTAGGAAAAAATAGATGAAAACCTTAGATGTACATTTGATGTAATGAATAATAATAATAACTTTAAAAAAATGAAACTAACCAGTGAACACAAAATGCAACGTATGGTTGCTATCAACTTACAATATTAATATATTAAAACATTAACTTGATTTTGGTCTCAGTTACGAAAGTAAGGATATATTGGTCTCAAATAAGTTCAAAAATATAATAAAGTGTGAGGATATATTGGTCTCAAATAAGTTCAAAAATCTAATAAAGTGTCACTCCATCAAGTTGTGCGTGAACATGTTGAAAAACTTTAGAGAGAATTAGAGAAATGCCCAAAATGGAGGCTCTAATTAGGGAAATGCCCATGATGGGACATAATAGCAAGATTTCATACAATTGTGTTTTGGTTGGACGATAAAGTCCTTCTCAACTCCTCTGCGATTCATTAACTAATCTGACACTCTGTTTCTTCTCATCTCTTACACTCTCTTTCCATTTCTTATTATATATTTTTCTTCCATATTTTTCATTCAATTTTTTTTTATTCATTAAAAACTAATTGAAACACAAAACAAAATAATTTTTATTCATTAAAAACTAATTGACACACGAAACAAAGTATTGATTTGTTTAATTACACCACAGATTGAGAAAATCATCATTGCAATATTTGTTAACAGAAGTGTTAGAAGTTAACGGATATATGTACCCGAATTGTTAGCTGTTAATAAATATTGTAGATGTTAACAAAGATATTAGATGTGAACAAATAGATGTACCAAAGATGGTAACGTAGATGTTAGCTGTTAATAAATAATGTAGATGTTAACAGAGATTTTAGCTGTTAACAAAAACATGTTCCCGATGTTAACAGAGGTGTTAGTTGTTAATAAATATACGTATCAGAGGTGTTAATAGACTTATAGATTTTCAGCTTTCTTTTTTAAAAATCAAAGTAGATTAAAATAAAAAAAATAACAAATTTTCTTTCAACATTCATTTAAATTACAAGGAGAAAAAAAGAAAAAGAGAAGAGAACAAACATAATTGAAGAAAGAATGAGAGAGAGAGAATTTCTAAAGAAAATGAGAAAAAAAAGCTGACACACCCACATGCAAGAAGGAGAGAGAAAATGGCAATTTCGTCATAAAAAATGCTAAATCCCATCATGCACATTTATTATTTTTAAACAAAAGTACTATCCCTTTCGGGATAAAAGGTAGTAAGTATTAAATAAAGACAAATAATAATACTCATTTAATTTATACTCATTAATCTGACGTCGACCTTCCGCCATTTATAGCTTCTAGTGACTTTTGTTGCTTCTTCATCTCTGGCAGGAACAAATACCCTATTTCTTTTTTTTTTTTCTTTTTGTTAAAGAATACCCTATTTATTACCTTCGTCAGATTTTCTCTTGTTCATTTTGAGGTAGTAAGAGAACTTCTTGTTCATTTCGAGGTAGTAAGAGAACTTCTAGTTCATTTTCTCTGCGATAAAATGTCTGTTCGTTTACTTTCTCCATTTGCTTGTTTCGTATTTGAATCTTCGATTGTACTGTGCTACTCGTAGAGACATTTAGCCGTTTACATCTTATTAGGTAGATAAACAACAATGGATGAATGTTGTTGATTGTTGTGAAATTAGGGTAAAGATCCCAACTTTCGATGCAATTTTGATGTTAATTTGATTTGAAAAAAAAAAATGTATTTGTTTGCTCGCCTATCTTCTCCTGGGTGTTGTTTTTGTGATGATTTTTTTTTTTTTTTTTGCTCACGATTGGATTCGGTTTAGGTTTACAATCGTGGTACTGTTTTAATTGCTGAACTGGATTTTTTTCTTTTGATTCGGGTTCTGTCACACTGTTTAGGTCAACCAACGATGACAAGTGAGCCAAGTTCCACCGCTGCTCAAAAGGTAGAGAAAACGATGGCTCTTTGCCATCAGTGCTTGAAAGAGAGAAAAAAAACATTGATCTATTGCAACGAGTGTGAAAAATCAACGTACTGTAGTGTTTGTATACGAAAATGGTAAGTTTTTTTTTTTTGTCTTAAATATAAATTTTGCTAAGTACTTTTTTTTGTTGGTTTCTAACTTGGTTTGTGGCTTGTGCAGGTATCCAAACCTATCTAAAAAAGACAATGTTATTGAAAAATGTCCTTCTTGCAGCAAAATTTGTAACTGCAGCATATGCTTGAAAAAGAAGGGTTTACTTGAGGTAAATGAGATTATCATTTACAGAAGAACCCTCCAAGATGGTGTTTATTTTGTTTGTTTGTTAACATTGTGTTTGTGTTTGCGTTTTTAACAGACTTCAAACAGGAACCTCACGAGTTCTGAAAGACGCCATCATCTCCAGTACATGATTGCATTGATGATTCCGTTTCTGAAAAAGCTATCTGAAGCTCAGAAGCTAGAGCTTGAAGTTGAAGCAAAAATTCAAAGTATTAAATCTTTCTCTACTATGACATGTCTTTTTGTTCATACTTGAGATTTTTTTTATTTTTTCTAACGTAGTGTATGGCCTTTTTCTATAGGCGTACTGTATTCTGAAGTTAAGACAGTTAAAGTTAACAACAGTGACGAACGCATAAACTGGTAAGGAAACTTTAGGTTTATCTTAGTACAAAGTTTTTAAGTTCAATCTAATAACTGAGAACCATCTTGCGATGCAGTAATTACTGTGGAGCTTCAATTTTTGACTTGCACCGAGCCTGCACAAACCCAGAGTGCGACTATGAACTTTGTTTAGACTGCTGTCAAGAGATTCGCCAGAATGGTTTAGAGTTGCATGGCTGCGGTTGTGATACTTTGTTGGAGCTTAGAAGAATCTTACCTTCGACATTGATCTCAGACTTAAAACAAAAGGCAGACACTCTCATGGTTTCATACAAGAAAAGCCCTAAAGTGTCGAAGTGTAGGCGCTGTCCTGGTTTGTACTCTCCTGAATCTGTTGATGAAGGAGAGCTTCAGCATTTTCAAGAGCATTGGGAAAATGGTGAACCAATAACAGTTAGGAACACTCTCCAGAACACACCTGGTTTAAGCTGGGAACCGGAAGTTATGTTGCGAGATCTACTCAAAGTGAAGAAGAATCCATCAACAGACACTTGTATCAAAGCAATGGATTGCTTAAATGAGTGTGAGGTTGAGATTAAAGCGCGTGAGTTCACTGATGGTTACAAGAAAGGAAGAATGGGTGGTGAAGAAGGCTTGCCTCAGATGCTGAAGCTAAAATTTGAAGATGTTCTGCCACGTCACTTGGACGAGTTCTTATGCGCCCTACCTTTCCAAGAATATAGTAATCCAAGAACCGGGATTCTTAACATTGCAACAAAGCTCCCTGAAGACTCTCTCAAACCACTAGATTTAGGTCCTAGGACTTACAATGCCTATGGGATTCCATATGAGCTAGGCATAGGCAATTCTGTGACTAAACTTCACTACAGTGTGGCAGACGCGGTTAATATAGTGACACATACAGCTAAAGTAACTCTGACGGAAGAACAAATATCTGCAGTAGCAGATCTGAAACGGGAACATAAGAAGCATGATAAGCATGAAAATAACAGTAACCAAGATGAAGAAGTAGAAGCAGATGTAGAAGCAGACGTGGCTGAGGCTCTTCTGAGCGTTGAAATTGCTCAGAATCATGAAGAAAAAGGAGGTGCTCTTTGGGACATATTTAGGAGAGAAGATGTTCCCAAGTTAGAAGAGTATATGAGAAAGCATTGCAAAGAATTTAGACATACATATGATTGCAAAGTAACTCACCTACCTGCCACAACCTTTTCGAACTGAGATTTTACTTTCTTGGTGTACTGATGATTTCTTTTTTCGAATTTTCAGGTTAATCATCCGATACATGACCAAACATTTTATTTAAGTACAGAGCATAAAATAAAACTCAAGGCTGAATTTGGTGAGTAATCGAACAACTATATGTTACTCTTTTCTTGAGCTGGTTAGGTTTGTTGGAGAAAAAATGAAAATATGAATGAGCCGGTTTATAATATATGAGAGACTTGACCCAATTCACTAATTGCCAATTGATTTTAAGTTGGAATCCATAAAAACTTATTATGCTATCATAGCCTGTCTACACCTTGACCCGACAAAATCATCCCATTAGCTGATGGCCCATAGAACATTGGTATGATGGATTTCGAGATTACTGGTTAGACCCATCATTATCCCGAGGAAGGGTGTTGGATATAAGAGACTTGAGCCAGTCCATTAATTGCGCCAATTGGAAATCCAAGAAACTTATGAGGATTATACATTTATTTTTGTAATTGTAGGGACACTACAAGAAAAGAGTGTCAACTCCGACGATAGTTTCTGAGGACATGATTCATCAGTAAATTGGCTTTGCCGTTCCGAGGAACTACCGAGAAACAATCGACTTTGTCGGAAATTTCTCAAAAAATTCCGATGAATAATATATGTCGGAAAGTTAACGGAATGAATTGTCGGAATCTTGTCAAAACACAAATCTATTTCCGATGATACTATTTTGTCAGAGTATTCAAACAAACTTCTCGGTACTTTGTAGGAAAATTCCGATGAAAACTGGTTGACTATTCGTCATCGGAAACGTTATTGGAATTATCTCGGTATTGGTGTATCAGTTATAAAGCATTTGTTGATAATTTATTTGATACAATTAATTTTCCGATGATGCTTTATATTTTCAGTATTTTTGTTTTGAATTAATAGTCAAAACGTGTAGTGGAGAAAATACTTGTACGAAACGGTTGTGTTTTGGCATAAAGCACATTTCTATATATAAATCTTATCAACAGACGAGTGGTTAAGAATATTTACCACTTACCAGTACTTAACTCTTTTCTCTACTTTCTCTCCTTTACAACTCTTTTTGTCCAGATCTATTTTTGCAGTACACTGTGAAACTTTTGCTCCAGAACTTCCTTTCACGCCACCGCCGCAGTTCCTTTCACGCCACCGCCGCAGTTCCTTTCACGCCACCGCCGCAGCTCCTTTCACGCCACCGCCGCAGCTCCTCCAAGCCACCGCGGTAGATCTTTTTACGCCCCCATGCCGCAGCTTCTTTTACGCCAGCACCGCCCCAGCTCCTTTACAACTATTTCCATTGACACACTCTACACCGATGAATATATATTATTTTTTTTAGTTCTTATTGTTATAGAATTCTTTTATGCTAATAGATCAATTTTTTTGGTTTAGTTCTTATTGTTATAGAATTCTTTTGTCTAATTATTATTCAGTGGAATATTTGATGATTATTATTAGTTTTAGTTTTAATTTTTTTAAAATATATTTTTTTTATTCAAATATATATAGTTGTCGGAAACTAATCGGAATTGAATCCTCATAAATTTATCGGTATGTTCCGATGATTTTCCGTTAAATATTTCCGACAACAATTGTTCTCGGAAGTTATCGAGACATTTCCGAGAAATGAGTGTTTCCGAGACCCAAACCCCGACAAATTTTTGATCCTCGAGAAAC